CCCCAAAACCCCAAAACCCCAAAACCCCAAAACCCCTAAATAAAAATTCAAGATTGAAAAGCCGAGAGTATGAGAGATTATGGAACTTCAGTATGGTCATGAACGATTTGTTTTAAGAGCTGTGTGAGCTCATCTATTGGGATCTCTCCATTTGAGTTGATGTCTAGCTCCTTTAATATTAGCTCTCATGTTTCCTTATCGAAGATCTTTCTATATTTTAATAGAGATATGATTTCTGAAGCATTTATATAGTCAGAGTCATCTTTATTAAAAAGGCTTAAGTTTGATTCAAAAGTTTTCTCAGCTCTCTTGCTATCTTGTTGATAATTAGAGGTGATGAATTCAGCATAATCAATCTTGTCTTCTGACTCATTTTGAATTTGTTCAATTATTTTATCAAACTTTGCACTAGCTATAACTTCCCCCATGACTTCAGAAAGTCCAGCTTGGAGCTCCTCTTTAGTAAGCTGTCCTGATCCTTCATTATCAAGAGTAGAATAAATTTCTGTGAGCCTCTTCTTCTCATCATATGCGTCTTTTACAGATTTAATATACAATCCAAATCCTTGCTGAATCTGTATCTTCTCTCTAAATTTCTGTAAGATACTCAAAATTTCAGGCTGAAGAATTTTGTCATCACTAATTTCCTTCGAATGAGCAGTAAGCCATGGATGTTTAAGAGCATCTTTGGAAGATATCCTTTCATCTGGAGTAAACTCTAGCATACTTTTAAGTAAGTCTCGTCCTTCTTCAGATATATTTTCCCAGAGATCAGACTCGATGCTATAATGTCCTTTTGAAATATTCTCAAGAATTTCATCTTCTGTATCTCCATTAAAAGGAGGTCTGCCTCATAAAAGAATGTACATAATAACTCCTCATGCCCAGATATCTCAATTTTTATGAGATACTCCAGCCAAAACTTCAGGGCTAATGTAGTAAGATGGTACAGAAGTTTTGGAAGCTTCATCACAAGCGCTATATTTCATTGGAGATCATAAATCAACAAGTTTGATCAATGCAAAAGGCCCATCATATTCAAAAAGAATATTTTCTAGCTGGAGACTTGTATTATTGATTCCTTCAGCATGACAATATGATACTGCGAAGAATATCTGCTTCATAATATGAACAGCATCTTTTTCTCCAAAAGAGGGTCTTGAAGATATCTGATCAATAAGTCTACCACCAATTCAAAGCTCGGTGACTATATAATATCATTCTTTATCTTCGTATATCTGAAAAATTCTACTAATATTCGGATGGTCCTAAAATTATTCCAAAAGCTTACTATTTTAACAAATTTCTCCACTTCTTCAGAGAACTGTTCCCAATCTCAATCTTTAAACCCTCTCTTATTATAAATCTTAACCGCTCTTTTAACTCCTGACTTAACATTACTTCAAATTCTGACCTGACTATCAACCCCAACGCCTAAAACCTTCCCAATCCTATAGTCACTCAACATATCTAATCCTCTTAATTCTATAAATAACTCTGAATTCGGGGTTTTGGGGTTTTGGGGTTTTGGGG